TAATCAGATCTGAATACAATGTCTTCATTATACAGAATCAATACCAAATGAACAAAGGCGCATGGGAAAGAAGACGCATTATCTAGTAGGTCATAATTATACGGAAATTTGACAGTTTAAAATAGATTACAAGACATAATAGTTGTTGACATACTTCACCTTTCAGCGTAAACATAAAATTAGTAATTTTGAGAAAATATGTAAAAGAAATGCCAACACAAACATTAAAATTGGATACATTTCAAATTCAAACGCACAAACGCAACGCGAAGAATGTCGTGGTCAGCGATCTTCAAAGGTAACTAACCACCCTTTAGGAGCGTCTAACGAAAATTCCATAATCGCAATAGGAAATAATTCTGATGGAAAATTGGCAGACATACACGCACGTGGGAAATTCCGAGGGGATTGAACAAAACCGCGCAACTGGAAATTATATTAAAGTGTTCTATCTACGTGCGTTATATCTGCCCAGCAACGAATCATCTCCCTGCGGCTTACTGCACAAAACAAAGTTACATTTCGTCGGTACAAATTAAATTTTAACAGAACGTAATTGAACGCTGAATAGCGCTTTATACGTTCCCAGAATTCCACTTATTTTAAGCTTAATACAGAAACCGCAAATAAATGTGCTTGTCATGTACGAAGAACGGGAAATCCGAACCATACGTTTGGATAAAATGTAGTTATCATGTTGTATCGAATTTTCACAATAGGGAATTAAGATACCTACATATATTTTGAATTCCTTCAAGAACTACGACGGCAAGATGAAACTAGTGCAGAAATTCGGGGTAGAAAAGAAGACAAACATCGATCTGTAGCAAAACATAAGCCAGACCTTTACCAAAAATGTTGTTTACTAAATACGTAAAGGGTGCGAAAAGAATACAAAATTTAAGTAATGCAAAATAATTATGACTGCGGTGAAAAATACCCCTGAACTCTAGGCAACCCATAATACCTGCCGTTTCAACCTTGTCAAAATTGTCTGTATCTGTCATTTTCATTGTGTCTACTAGTTTTTCGCAAATTTGAATAGAAATGGCCTCACAATCCCGGCCATAGCGGCAAAATCTACCCTAATTTATGTAATCCACGCAAGTAAAAACAGGGTATTTCCTATTGTAAAAGTTCAAATTTGGAAGTAGTTGACTTCTTTACTCTATTCTTGCACTCTTTACTAATCATTCTACTCCCACTGTTTCAACATGAATCTACACATGACTCGAAAACTTCACCTTCGCATGCGCTACAGAGAACTCGTTGAGAAATTGCCCAATTACACGCGTTTATACAATGCGTAAATTTTATCTCCGAACATAGAAATCTCCTATGTTCACTTCTTAATGCCTGACAGTTATGCTACCCACCTTACCAACAAATTTAACAACTGTAACACAAAAGAAACTTAGGCGATTCGTCCATTTGCGCAACGAAACAAATGAAACCAGTTGCGCCCAACCATGAAACCAGTTGCGAACGCTGTTTTACCTATAGCTACTAATGGTGTGCAATTGCGATTGCAACCTATTTTGGATTTTGACGAAACCGCTTTTTCTTCACCTTAAATAGAAGAGCCCACCACCAGTGGCGTAGCGTAGGGGGGGGCGGAGGGGCGATCCGACCCGGGCGCCACTTTAGTAGGGGCGGCAGCGTCATACCTGCCAATAATACCCCGGGGAACTTTTGAAAATAGTTAAATTTTGATTTTTTAAGCAACTTGAAGATGCTTTATCTGACAAAACTGAGGAGAAAATCACGAAGAGACTTCTGTTCTCAATACTCCAATCTTTTAAATGCGATGTCTATGAAGCAATTCAAACACCATTATCTTCTTTGATTCTTGCGCATCTATGGGTTCGATTTCAAAAGCAGTTTTGTGTATATCCTTTTTACCGCATTACAAAAAAAATAGAAAAATACGCTGTTTTCTACCTGCCTGTCTTTATTGTAAGGCGACACCCCCCCCCCCCCCAACAATCGCAGGGAGGCACGCCCTGATCGCGCCCCGGGCGCCAACGTGCTACGCTACGCCACTGCCCACCACAAAATCTTCATCGGACGATGGCATCATTCAAACTCCAAAAAGGTTGGACAAATGGACATAAGTTGGTTTGATGAAACCTGTTTCACGCGACTGGTCGCAGCGACCGGTTGCTTATATGGGCGAGCTGCTTTAATAGATATTTTAGATACCTATTCGACCGATTTGTTTAGCACATTCGACTTATTAATTGTAAAACTATCTTTAAAGTGGTTTTAAAATGTTTTTTCAGTTAGTGGAATTTTACTTTTTTGCTGTGAATGTCGAATTCAATACGGACATGTATGAATTTTGTTCCTCTTATGCACGCTAAAATATTCGAGTTCATTTCTCCAATTAAAACACGACAAGTTCTATTTCTGGTGTAATGTTCATTAACAATTCAACCATCAGTCCATCAACATGAAATTTTTCAATGCTAATTGTGAATTATGCCAATTGACGGAATTTGCTTATCGAGATATTTAATAGCAAATAAATCCTGTTATTGTTGAAATAGGTCTGTAAGATTTCCATTTTTTCTTCTTTTGTATTTTATTAAGAATATAATTAATAATGTTAATTTAATAAATAATTCAGATATTGAGTCTATTGAAAACATTTAGAAAAGATGAAACATTGGTTAAGCGCTACTTGATTTGTGTATTTAAGAATTAAACATAGGAGAATTGTATGTTCAGAGTTAAAATTTACGCACTGTGTATTCCGACGAATCAAAAATACGAGTTGGAATTACATTATATATGCATTGTATATTTATACAATGATATATTGTTGTGTAAATTACGTCATGCGGACGCTTTAGCTGCTTACAGTGCAAATAGTATTGGATCACCCTGTATGTGTCAATTTTCAATTATTTGTAACGTTAATTAGGTTAATAATTTAGACTGAACACAATTTCGATCATGGTTTTCGAATTTGAAATCAATGTGTTTTGTATTAGATTTAATGATGCTTATTTGTGTATCTTAGAGCAGACGATAGGTCTAAATGCTAAGTGTAGATAAAGTGAAAAAAATCATTGTACATTCCAAAGACATCATTCTTATTAAAAATGAGAGGCAGAGCACGAAATAAAATGAAGTTCAGACCAAAATACAATATTGTTTCCATGAAAACGACGGGGAAGCTAAGCTCGCTATGATTGGCTGCGCCATTTTGTGGCGGTAAATTTGAATTTATGCGGGAGATTTGAATTTATAAATTTCCGGATGTCCGCCATTTTGTCATGTAAGTACGGGAGATTTAAATTTGTGAATTTGCGGATGTTGCCCATTTTGTAGCGGTAAGTTTGAATTTATGTGGGAGATTTGACCTTTTAAATTCCAAGATATCTGCCATTTTGTTGAGGTAAATTTAAGTTTGAATTTGTGTGGGAGATTTGAAATTTTGAATTTCAGGATGTCTGTCATTTTCTTGTGTGTACTTTTTTACTGACTATATAACAAAATAAAGTTGATAATGATTTCTCCGAAACGAAACGTTGTATTGAAATTCTCTCAACGGTGTCTTGTAGACCGCAAAAAGTGGCAATAAGAAAGTAGTTTTTATTTTTTGTATCTGTTCAAATAACATCAGAAAAAATAATCCCCAAATTTCGGTTTTCCTGGCATATGTTCGGAAGTAATCTGAATTTTTTTGTTTTCTTTAAGGCGTGATAATAACTCTCTAATTTGACCATCGTCATATCTTCTATGGTTTCGGAGATCCACATGATAGACATACTTATCTTGGACACAGTGTATACAGCATTACCGAATTTGTCATCTCAATGTGCTGGGTAAATCTGGAAAGAGGATGTGTGCCACATGCGATGCTCCATATACAGTACAGCATATACTTTTGGATTGCCCCGTGTACGAGAATACAAGACATAATCAAGGCTTAGAAAGAAATGCCTGTGAAAGAAGTGTTGAGAGATGAGTAAAATAGGAATAGCAAAGCATAAAAGAACTAATTTCATTAATTAAAAATAAAGAACTGTTCAAAGAAATTTAAAAAATATATGTAAGCTAAATGGCGAAAGACCGACGAAGTCGAAGCCAAACTTTTTCTGTGTTTTCGATTATTGCTAGTTTTTTTAATTGTGGTTTTTTATTGTGTAGGTATTTAAAAATAAAAATATATACAGGGTGTTCTAAACATTTTCGATTATTTCCGGCGAGGCCGGATTAAAAAAAATTGTCATTATGCTTTAGCTGAGCATTAAACAGTCATTATTTTTATATTTATCACATTTTTTTTAATTTTTATTTTTTGTATGTCGAGTACATATGTGTGAAAGTATTAATATTAGTATTGATTCGGTGTAAGCATGCTTGGAGCCCTGCTTTTGTGGGTAGATACTATTATTTTTTATATATGTAATTGTCTCTTGTAATGTTATTTTAACTTTACACTCTTATATATAAAATAAATTATTAAATATTAAATTACTCTGGAGTTTTAGAACAAGAGCAATTTTTTTCAAGCTCATGCAGGATTTAATGTAGAATATTTTTAATAATAATAATCGCGCTTGCCAATTTTTGTGAAAAATACGCAAATAAACTCAAAAACGAGTAACTTCCAAAGTACCTATCAAAACTAATTAAGTCTACACTTTTAACACACGGTCGCCATTTTAAAAAAACATCACAATTAAGAGGCAGCAAAACATTTAGACACAGAAAACATTAATTTGTACATATATGTATCAATAAATTAATACAGATTATATAAATATTATTGTATCTATTACCACAGATATTGCATATATCTGTGCTATTAGGTATTGTCAAAAAAAGGAAAGACTTCATCCCATAGCCTTAGTACAGGAGGCAGTCAATAATTCAAATTCCTGCCAATTCTTCTTACTTAATTATAAAGTAGATACCTACTTGGCATTTCCCTACAACATTTAATTAATATAATTAAATAAGTACCTAAAGATATGTTTAATTACTTTCTACACAGTTCTGAAAAATTTGTGAGAATTTTCATCGATATTTCTATCATGTTCATCATAGGCACTATGGGCGTATACTTTCACGCTTGAATGCCTATCGCCTGATTCGATCAACTTCTTCAAACCAACCACACTGGCAATCACTAACGCTAATTTAGATACCACGAGCGCTTTTCCGGCCATTAGAGCTGCTGCTTTCGTAACGAACGATCCAACAATGCCATACATTCCAAATAACGCTAACATTATATAGCGCATTCCTCCTGTTCCTTTCTTTCCGCCTTTCTGACGAGCCTGTCTGCCATCTTCACCGCTCAATTCAAAACCCAAAGTAATCGAATGCGTATCAACAAAGACATCCATGGCATTTGCAAGTCGCGAAAATCCGTCTTGTAGAGACCTCGTTCTTGGCACTTCTTCAGGTTCCTTAATTTTACTCAAAGTCAGCCCACTGAAGATTGGAATGTCAACGGTAGCGTAGTATTCCACAACCGAAGCAACTCTATCGGCTAAACAAGACGGCACATTTGAATTTGACGAGCACTGCTTTAGCACTTTATTTATTATCTGTTCATATGCCTCTTCATTTTTCGCCGCACAACTACTCACTAGCAGCAACAATACATTAAGGTAATTTGAGGACATTCTTAGTCGAGTTATTGATCTTAAATGGTACATTTTTACATGAGTTGATATGATTTATAGGTAGCGACTTACATGGCGTGTGAAACGTACATGTTCTTCTTGTGTGCTTCCGTAAAAAGGGATACGAATTAATATTCAGATATGTATTTGTATTAGATATTATTGAACTACCTACGTAATCACCTCGGTAATCACTGACCGAAATATAAGTACTTACTGTACGGTGTAAGTACACTATATAATTTCATTGCATGTCTTCTGTTAAAGCGTAATCCGTAACGCATGTTTACCTACATATTAAGTCTTTTGTCTACCCAGTAAAGATATTCGGTAGATAACGATAAGATTATGAACATCCATTACATGAAGATTAAAGCTAATGAGAGGTGGAAAGTAAAACTGGAATATAAACATGTAAAACGGTATTCACAAATACACTGCATAGTCCCATGCTGAGCAACCTGAGGGTTCCTTGGTTACGTGCTTTCAAGCAACAGGACCTGCAAAGTTCGTAACCCAAAGAAGATGATACAGATACACTGATACATGATACAATAAAAAGGCGTCTTCTCATTGGGGAGAATCCGGCAGAATTCGGCAAGACAATAGTTACCATAATACGTATTTAGCCTCCCAAAGCTACTTCCGGTTTATACATTTGTGACACTAATAATGATGCATGCATCTTGCGTGTGCAACCGCCACCACAAACATTACTAGAGAATTTTTTGTACTCCAGTATTCAGTTAGGTACCTAATACCGTAGTGTAAAGAATAGAATACGTAGGTATAGCAATTTTTTTTTCACACGTATATAGCGGGTACAGGTAAATACAGTGGATTTACATCAGATGCACTTGTACAAGTTTGTTGATTTCAGAAAGTTTATTACATCGTAGATCTGGTTGCTTAGGATGTTCTGGGCGTCGATTCCCGAAGATGTGCTTTGTTCACATCGACTGACCTTGATGTGAACGTGAATGTCACTGCATTCTCAAATCTACCACATCGAGCGAAAAGTCGAGACGAGTACTGCTAACGAACGCGACATTCCAAATAACAGGACACGAGCCTGGCTTTCATTGTTAATCTGGTGTTGCAGTGTTCGCAGACTGGAATTTTCGGATCCCATTAGGTAAATCGCGAGGTGAGACTGCCTATTCTGAGTGTTGGCACTTCTTTTGGTTCCTTCTTGACATCAAAGTATTTTGGTAGGAAGTTACGTTGACTTGGATTTGGTGCAGTTTCGTGTTTAGCCTATTTCAGTGCTGCTGCCATGTTTTTAGGCTGTCTCGTCTGATGAGAGATTTTAGATCGTACGCCAACTGCAATTTTTCGATGGTCGTGTCAGATGATCGAGCTTGTTTTGCGGATTTGTCTGCATTTTCGTTGCCTTTTATGCCGGTTCTGACGGAAGCCAGATTATAGTGACCCCAGTTCCATTGGACGTCAGTCTATGGCATACCTCGTGAATATCTTGGACAATCAGGTTTTGTGTGTAGATGTTCTTTATGGGTTGGAAAGATGAGAGTGAGTCGGTACATATGCTTACGGATTTGTTGGTGTGCGTTAAGCTTTGTAGTGCTTTTAGGATGCCGTGTGTTCGGCAGTGTAAACTGGTTTCGGGAAGTCGGTGGGTTGATTTCGATTGTATTAGTTGTGGTGATTGCACTCTAAGCATGTTTTCCTGGTCTAGTTTTGTCAAAGGAATGTCTCGATTTCGATTAAGAGTGTTTCCTTGAGGTGGACAGTAAAACTGGTGTCTAAGTGGGTAGCATAGTTTTTTCCTACATGGCGGAGTATTTGAGAGTTTGATGGGAGTTGTGACACTTTGTGATGATGGATATTGTTAGTTTCAGATTGCAGGTATTTGGATAATGGATTGTGGTAATATCGATGTATAGGTATAGGTATTAGTTCACGAGGTCCGGCTATTATATAACGAGATTGCGCGGGCAGAACGCGTACCAGAAGTGGGGGAAACGAACACATGGTAGGAAACCTTGAAGTGTCACCTATTCGAGTGCGAAAAGACATTTTTGTGCGTTGAATAGTATTTATGCTATTGCGTTTTGAAACCAGCGTGTTTTTTTCACGCGTCGGATAAAATGTGCGATGAAAAACATGAACAACGTATCAATCTGAAGTTTCTCATAAAATTGAAAAAAATGCCAACTGAGTGCTACAAATTGTTGAAGGAGGCTTACGGTGAGAATGCTCTATCTCGTGCGCGTGTTTTCGAATGGTGTAAACGATTTTCTGAAGGCCGAGAGAGCACCGAAGATGACCAACGTCCAGGCCGACCTGTCACTGTTTCAACTCCAGAAACCGTGGAAACAATCAATAAAATTGTGCGTGGAGATCGTCGTACGAGCATTAGGATGATTGCTGACGCTGTCAACGCCGATAAAGAAACCGTCAGAAGAATTTTACACGATGAACTGAACATGAAAAAAGTCTGTGCGAAGTTGGTACCAAAAAACTTGACCCCAGAACAAAAACTTGTCCGTCACCAGATCTGTTCAGATGTTCTTGAAAGGTTAGTGGAAGAGCCTGGATTGTTGGAAAAGGTCATCACATGCGACGAAACTTGGATTTTTCAGTATGATGTTGAAACTAAGCGGCAATCAATGCACTGGAAAACTCCAACATCTCCGAGAATGAAAAAAGCAAGGAGGTCGAAATCCAAATTCAAAGCAATGCTCATTGTTTTCTTCGACATTAACGGCGTCGTGATGACTCAATGGGTTCCAGAGGGTCAAACTGTGAACCAAACTTATTATTTGCAAGTTCTGGCAACACTGCGAGAGCGAGTTCGGAGGAGACGGCCGCAGTTATGGAAAGACAAGTCGTGGATCTTGCATCAAGACAACGCACCTGCGCATAACGCGCTGTTTTTTAGCCGATAAAAGCATCGCAGTGCTTGAACATGCGCCGTATTCGCCAGATTTAGCCCCCTGCGACTTCTACCTATTTCCCAAGATCAAGTCTGCCCTAAAAGGAACGCGTTTTGGATCAATGGAGGAGGTGAAGCAAAAAACACGACGGAGCTACTCAAAGCGCTCACAAAAGAAGACTTTCAGCACTGCTTCCAACAGTGGAAAAAACGAATGATGCGGTGTGTGCAGAGGGAAGGGGAGTATATTGAAGGGGAACATTCATTGGATCTGTAATTTTTATAATAAAGACCTTTTTCGTAACCAGTCTCGGTATTTAATAGCCGCACCTCGTATGCTTTCAGAGGGGCTGGATTTGAATGCACCGAAGCAAATTCGTAGGGCTGTATTTTGCACAGTATCAATAGATTTTAGTTGAGATGGGCTGGCTGACGTGTACAATATACTTCCATAGTCTAATTTCGAACGGATCAAAGCTCTGTATATTCTTAGCAGCATCCCTTCTTCCGCCCCCCATTGGTGGTGTGCTAGAGACTTGATTAGATTTATTCGCTTTAGACATTCACCCTTTGTATTCTGTATCTGGTGTTTCCAAGTGAGGCGTTTATCAATTGTTATTCCTAAGAGTTTAAGGTGGTCAACTGATTCTAGTTGGATTCCATTTAGATTTAATTTGGCTTGTTGGGAGTTGTGTCTTCTGCTGAATTCGATAACTTTGGATTTCAAAGTGCAAATTTATCAGAACATATTTAATGCAGAAGTGAGATAGGTACCTATCTTATGTTAGGTAATGGTATATGTAGGTACCTACCTAACGTTACAATAGTTACATCAGTCTAAAGATTTCAGTTTAATCTTTGAATAAAAAATATATATTTTAATAACAAAGAATCGCTTTATTCTTCCCGAAAAAGTTGTAAAGGACTCAAACTCTTAGTAGGGGGAGTGGTCCATGTGGTTTTATTCTAGATGGGGTAAAGGTAAACCGCTAATTTAAAGAAATAAAACCGAGAATAAAACTAAGAACGATTCGTGTTGATGAACCCTTATTTTACTTGGAAAACACAAAAATGGTTCGTAAATTTTCTAAACGCTTGAATGTAAAAAAATATGTGCCCTAATGCGGTCCCGTGAGTTGGAAAACCCTGTCCGTATCTCTAAATTGCAAAAATTAATCCTCGAGTCCCTTTCAGTCAATCACAGAAGATCAGAAATATCCATGTACCTATTCTTATTCATCGTATTCAGATGATCTTTTCGAAATATCAGACAAAGTAGATCCATCCATTCGCTTCCCCTACATTTCACTTATCTGTTTTTACTTCATGTTACTCCTTAGCACCCTACAATGTTCTCGCGTTCTCAAGCTCGTTTCAGAATATTCTCGCACAAACACGTAATATTTCTAGGAAGAATTTCGTCACAGCCGCCTTCGTTCCTTATCGCCGATGACTCTTCTTTCATGGCGCCTCGCTGTCTATAGAAAATACTGGAATGTTCGCTGCAATATTAACGAAAATCCAAAAACCGGTCGATTTTTATATCGAGGGTGGAGGGGGATTTGTATGTAAAAATAATTCATGCAACTTTAATCCTGTAGGTACTAGAGGTTGCATATTTTAACGGTCCATATCGGCGACTAGGGTCACTTCACCGACGGAAACTACGCCGACCGTGTCCATATCGCCGACACGTGTGCACGCTGCTTACATTTGGATGCTACTGCGCCTGTGCGTTGTTCTGCGTACGGTGTAAAATATATCTCTGTCTTTGTTAGGTATGTTGGCACAAATCCTCCTTATTGAAAGCAAATGGAAGACTATATCTATTAATCTATGTATATATGATCTAATCACAGAGTACCCATAATTTTGATCTATAATGATCTAAGATTATTTCGCACTTTTTTCTTGTTGCGGTTTATGCCATAATTACGCGTTAACTTGTATGTATTCACTTTCTTGAACACTGAACACTGAACAGGCAGTGAGTGCGAATTTGATTTATTTTGCAACTATTTAAACGTATGTACCGGTATTCATATTATGTCGAATTCGTCGATTGTTTATAATAACTTTAGTAGTACAGTGGTTGATGTATGGGAATATTGTAGTGAATTTTCTAGAAATCCAGATAAACATGGAGCCGTCATAAAAGATTGGTCACCGACGATAAGAAATGAAAGTGGATGTGACGCATCCTTTCCGCGAAATACGATGTGTTTTGTTCGAGAATATTCGGTTAACCACACAAAATTGCTTATTTCCCAATACATTTAACAATATGCGGGATCCCGCAAATACCGAGATGGCGTGGGATTGATATATAACGATCCCGCAAATACCGGGATTGAAATTTTACTGCGGGATTGCATTCCCTAGGCACGGATGAATTTGAATACACCTATACACGCGGCTGCGTAGTGCCATAACATTATACTATGCGATCAAAAATGAGTTGCTGTCGAGTCATTTTTGGAATTTTTGTTTACATGAGAAATCGTACTTAGCTTAAACTTCCAAAGGCGACTCGTCAGCAACTCATTTTTGATCGCCCGTTAGTACTTTATTTTTTCAAAATGCTTAACTTACGTGATTAACGCATATACCTATCTAAAGATATATGGATTAACGTTTCGTTGACAGTACGTGATTAACGTTTCTTTTTCCTTTAAGAATTGTGTTATCTCAACAGCGTATATGTGATATCTAATAAGTATACATATATAATTATAATAGATATTTTTTAAAACGTAAGGCAAGTTTATAAATGTCGTATTTAGTATAAGAAGTTTAGGTTTTACCCAGTAATGACCCAGTATTAAAGCATATTATTAATGTGTTAACCTGGGCACCATTAATACAATTTTTGTTTTTAGAAGCTGGGATGCAGACATTCAAAAACATTTCCCAAGACAGATTCAAAAAAGAAATGGTTCAAAAAACCAAACGAAAGGAAGAATTTTTTGTTACTGTTTTGTTATTCTATTATAGTCCGGTTTTTTAAACAGTTTTTGAGATATCGTATTCTAAGTAGCCGATGTTTTATATTTAATCCAATGCAACAAAACGACAGGTACATGCAAGGAATGTACCTACTTTGAATGGGTCCATAGTATAGTACGTAAACTGTCCATATCGTTCACATTTGGACCTACAACGGACGTCCATTGTACAAATTCTGTGTAATACACGTACATACTACGAGTATGTTTGGTACAGAAGGTTCACATATGTACATACAGTGGACGTTTAATGTATGTCTTTGTGTTGTAGGGTCGTTCTCGCCCTAATATAATGCTTATTGGATTTCTTTATAGCTTATTATATGTCGCACCTGCAATAATCTTTTTCCATACCTGATAGCTTATGTCCCGGCACCGGGCATTAGGCCGCAGACATTAAGACGTGGACATTGGACCGCAGACATTGGGACGTGGACCTTTGGACGTCCCAAGGTCTGCGTCCCGATGTCTGCATCCTACTGTCCGCGTCCTAATTTTCGAGTCCTAATGTCCGCGTCCCAATGTCTGCGGTCTATTCCCTTTGCGGTCCAATTTCCGCGTCCTAAAATCTTGCGGCCCATTTCCATAGAGCCCTTATGTCCGTATATCGTGTAAATGGATACTTTGGATAGATTTTCAACGGTAATGTTACCCCCCGTCCTACGAGAGCGAGCGATCAGGGCGGCCAGAGCGTCCTCCGTGGGCGATGAGAAACAAGCGGACGACGCGACGCAAGAGAGATACGTCCGGCCAACGTGGGATTATCATAGAGCCTTTGTTTACTTTGGAGCTGAAGAATATGCTTTGTCTAATCATAGTACAAGTAGACCAAGTACTTATTACTGTTAATAATACATTTTTTGAATGTCTACCATTCGAAGGGAAAAAAATAAAGAAAACCAACAAACAAAATGTGTCAAGAGAAAGAATAGGTGCATTCATCATATGGAGAGCTGATGCGGAAAACCAGCGAATGTAGGTATATTATTCCACGCTTTTAATTACAATGCATAGGCACCCCAGAAGAAGTTTTATCTAACCTAACATAAAATTCGTTGGGTATTTAACTTAAAGATTCATATATCTATTTACAAGACAAGCAAGTAACATATATCAGTCGTTTCCGAATTCTGATGCGATTCTCGCGCGGCAAATGCGAAAAAATCGCTTAGTCCCCTTCAAAATTCTCTTCACTCAAACGTCGCCGACGTAGGAAGGACACTATAATGACATGTGTTTTGATAAAATATGGGTCGTTGGCTTCTACCGCTTACGTAGGCGACACTTATTTGTTCTAATTTTGCAATCGCCGTCTGACCCACCAACTTTCAATTGAAATCAAAAAAGTACTTATTCGTTACTATAATAAATAATTTATTTGCTCGTAATTACATTCTACAAAAATAATACCAAGAATAGGTATATTACATTATTTGCAATAAGCTCAAGAAACTCCTTTCTACTGCTACTATGACGAGTTTTCATTTTAACTTCTCATGCATATCATCATTTTGTATCATGATCTGTTTACTATAATGGATTACATTAAAAATCCGTATCAAATGATTGTGCAAGTCAAGGTCCTCAAGAAATCAGCCAGCAATGCTCTTCAGTGGGTTTCCATGTTACTTTGAAAGCTGTTGTATGCTCTTGGGCTATTACCTAAAATGTTGAGTATGCAGTGTGGGAAGTCAAAGAGTAAAATTGCATACTATGATACACATAGCATTATGCAGTATATGTTGAATCTGAACTAAATTAATTTGTAATATTTTGCGATATATACTTAGTACTTATTGGTAACCAGCACACTAACTTTACACACCAAAATAACAATCATTTTGAATTACATTTCTGTTGTTTAATCCTGTATTAATGCACATTAAGAACAAATGTTTTTAAACCTCTCGCCAGGAAAGATTGCCGGTCACAGAACACTTGATCCCGATCTGCAATCTATGTTTTTCTAAAGATGCGAGCGACTTCCGGGATATTATCGTGTCAATGTTGAACAAAAAGACTTTTCGTTCAATATCGGCATGATCCTATTCCGAAAGTCGTTCGCATCTTAAAGAAAAACATAGATTATAGGTCGACACAAGGTGTGCTGTGCCCGGCAATCTTTCCTGGAGAGAGTTCTACATAGGTACATTCAATGTCAAACAACAATCCAAAAGCTTATCACAGATTTGTATTCTTTTTATATCTTTTGCAAAGTGTGACATCGAATTGGACCAAACACTAATCAATATACCAAACTAAAAGATCTTTCATACACGCAGAATTCTCTCAATTTTTATACTAACTATACATAATACATGTGTATTGTCATTGTTTAAAATTTAAACAATGGTATTGTGTAGTCAACAGATGACATGCTCTGCAAGTATGAATGTCAAAAACTTAAGATATTTTTTGAAGAAATACAAATTAATAGTTATATACCTATATGTACCAACATTATCCAACCATTTACCCAATAACTGTTTGCAATGAATGTATGGATGCTGGAATACAAGTATATTTTCGGAACAGTGAATTTGATAGTATTTGAATATAACCCATATCAAATATTATGTTTAGAAAAGATCTAAGATACCCAATATCAGAAAAATGTATGTGGCCCTTTCAAAATGCTTACTGTTCCAAACTGATAAAAGTAAAAATTGGTAACTACTAAATGGTTAGACCATTTCCTTTTTCTTTAAATCCAAAACCCTTACTACTCACTAACAGACCAATAGAAAATTTATTTAATAGGTACACATTCATTAATTTTAAACTAAAAATTCAATTTAAGTTAATGGTTATTTACATGATTTTGTTCGGGCATAATACTCTCAAGACTTTGTAATGATGTGGCTGTTGATTCGTTCTCAAGGCCTACTCTCGCCTTTTCAACATCTAAAATACATTCTTTCAATATGGGCGGTGGCGATGACGGTTGTTCGGCAGCTACAGCTGCTAATCTGATGAGCTCTTTCTGAGATTCCCTGGCTTCTACCAAAAATATGCTCTCCTTAACTTCCTTACTTGAGTACTGATCGATTTTATCATAAATAATACCATGCAAACCTAATTCTTTTAAATACTTTATCGTGGCTTTATCAGCGTTTTCATCTCCCCAACAAAATATAATCAAACCGGCGGTGGTGGCCAACTTTACTTGGGAAGGATCTCTCAAAATATCTTCGGTATGAACATTGATTCCCAATAATTCTGACATGACTGCGTGATGAACTGCAGTTTCAATACTAAAACAGCGCGGATCGTGATATTGCGGATATTTAACAGATTGGCCGACGGTTAAGAATATTATGGGATACTTGTTCTGCTTCAACCGCAGCATCGTACACACATCCGCGTTAAAAGACGAAAAAATTATCTTTCTGTTGCCGGCGTGTTTTATCACAACCTCTAATATTGTATCTACGTATGTATTAATATCAACAGGGTCCTTCAATTCATAGGATCCGTCGTGCAACTGCATCGTCCATTTAATTTCAACGTTGAATCCAACATGGGGATCTAGTACTTCTAGCAACTGTTGAAGAGTCGGGAACGGTTGGTGATCTTCCAAGTCGTCGTCAAAAAAGCGCGGATTTTTAGTCTTGCCTTCTGACAAATGATAAACCTGAAACAAAGTTAAGTTTTATAAGAAATGCGAAATATCTTGCATAATAAAGCTACCAAATGATGTCAGCAATTTATAAATAACAAACCAACAAAGTCTTTCGTTTGGTGAGTGGTTCAACATTATACCACTACAACACACGGTTCTGATAGATGAATAACTTATCTACTGTGGTTAGACATTTCTGAATGAACACGAATCGAATTAATCAACCACCAATAACTAATAATGTAGCCCAGTGCACTTAAACAGGAGTAACAAGCTTTTTGTTAGTAGTTATCAATAAACTATAACTGACATATTTGTAAAGGGAAATTTACTTCTAGTTAACCCAATTTTATTTAAACTTGTTCTACAGTTTTATTATTCTTTGTGAGCCTCTGAAGGAAATATCTCGGAAATATGTACAGCAAAAATAAATTAACTCTGCATACAGCCCCGATCTAAAAGAAACTAACCGAAACTAATTATTTACACAAACAATTTGCCATCAAAGTAAATGTACATATTTCGGAAGCTGCAATTAGCCAATACAAACAGAATGGAAGATGAGGCTTGCTTCCAAAATATGCCTCAACCCTCAGGTATCATACAATTATTAATGTGCGTCATTTTTCGTAATCTATGACATTAGTGAAACAGTAATTTATTGGCATCTTTCAATATAAAATCGAAGTGAACCTTTGTGCACATGATACGAAATGAATGTTCCACATTTTGATATACGGAGTGCCGGAAAAGTATGGAATCGGCAAGCTACAGCCTTAACCATTCGTTATATTGAAAAAAGTGTGAGATGAAAGTTGTTTGATTTTATATTATGCATGTTTTGACGTACACGGATATTTTTCGAATGACGTCATTGCAAGTTATGTTTTACATACGCATTTCTCAATGTTTTGATTTAATTACATTAAAACTAAAATATCTTGAAATGTGAGAACTTCAGAATGTTAAAACCCTATACCATTTTGAAGCACCCCGTCTAGAGGATTATAAAAATCTAAAAGAATACAGGTGTTCAATTTAAAAAATATGCTCAACATGCCATAACTTGAAATGACGTCATTCGAAAAAATATCAGTGTATGTCAAAACATGCATAATATAATATCAAACAATTTTCATCTCACACGTTTTTCAATATAAAACGAATGGTTACGGCTTCCATAGTTTTCCACAGTTTGCCACTCTGTATACACATTTACTATACTCCCAATTAAAATTTACATCTCCTCAGAGATACAAATGTAAAAAATGTAAAACTTGAAAGCACGATAAATGTCATCCTTTCAAATCAACATTTATGTAATTGGTCATTTTATCAATAATTTTCCTGATTTTGGAGTATCAGATGTTGGTTGAGGGATAGTTGTAAGTACAAAATTCAATTATTAATTAACATTTTGTCTACTACTTTCCAGTTAATTAATTCTCCAACGTGTTTTTACAGATTATTTTTAGAACACAAAAAATATTTAATCTTTGTTTCGTTACATTTATCTCCAACAGTTCGAGATAGGAATTATGGATTGCATAATTAAAGATAAAAATACATGTATCTCAGAACCTAACCCATCATCCCAAATGGCTGAAAGAAGCTTTTCAAAATATAGACAATTAAACATGTATTGTAGATAACCTTCTTATAGATCACCTTTCCTAGGCGCTGTTACTTGCCTCTGAAACAATGTCCATTTTTATTTTCACAGAAAACTACTACCTTTGAATGTACTCAAAACATTCACGTTCTCAATGCCAAAATTTGAAAACAATTAAAAGTAAACAACCGGAAAAACGTTTACATACATGCACAAATGGTATTCTGGTACACACCAAACCTAATGCTACTTACTGGCTGGAAAATTGAAGAAAATATGGATAAGATGAAATGGAAGTACATAAATCTACATTCTACTTCAAAATTAAAAAAATAATACTTATTATAAATAATCACATAATTAGAATAAATATTTATTCATTTTCAACAAAAGTTAATAATAGATCTAACTTGAACATTATTTAAATACAATACATTTACTATAGTTTCAAATACAAAACATAATAATAAATTACATTCGTCGTTCGGCCTTCATATTCCCAAATTGTAAAATTTTTATTTCACAAAATAGAAAAAATAGTAGATAGAAAAAACCTGACGTGACCTGAGATTAACCGTTTATATAGTGTTTTTTTCAATGTGTTTATTTACGGCATGAATATTGTTGTGTAAACTGCAGGGGGGTCTCGTTTCTCTAGGTTGAAATAATGCCTACGATGAGAGCGAACCACTGTAGTTGAAAATTTACGTGCTGTAAACGTAATTTAGATTTAGCATTAGAGGTTTCAGGCGAGACATCCTGTACAATGTTTTAATTTATTTTTTAGGACATGAGGGGAAACCCTGTCATTTAAGGGTTATTATTGTATTTAATAAGTGTCAAAAATTCAGGGAACGCACAAATAAGGAAACATTTCATTTAAAATCGACAAAAGAAAAAAGTTTTATCTGGACTAATGTGTGTGTGTGCAAACACCGGTATAGGTCTAAATGATATGATAACCGTATGCATATGGGGATCAATTTAGCAACGGAGTTGGCTGTTTAGGTTTCGTCGTATAACAACGATGGGTATTAATGGAGTGGATGTGGTGAATGCTTAAATAAATGGAGCAAGATAAGTACGCTGCCGGTCGGGTTATATTGAAAGCGTGCGTAAATCATTTTAATGCGTTAAGTTTAAATACGAGCAAATTTTCTTCGCCGTTGGAACGATTTTTACGAGGATTTTTAAGAAACGAAATAATGTCGTCCAGTTTATGAAAGTGTTCCGTTGTTTTAAATTGGTGTATTTACCTGGTCAGTCAAATTTAATTACAAGTGTCAAACAAAAAAAATTGAATTTGTAAAAACTTTAAGTTTTTGTGAAGATGCTTCATCAGTAATTGCGTTTTCTTGGACAGACCAACTTAATTTGGATTGTGAACGGGTTGTGCGCAAAAAGGCTTTATGTCGCCTTAGAATTTTTATTACAAGATTTTGTATTTGTGTTGGTTTTTGTATTTGTATAAGAAAAAATTTATGTAATCTCAGAGTGTCATTGCATTATGTATGAATTTGATTTCCAATTTAAGATTGAGGTTCAATTCCATTCATTTGTTGTCAGATTTTTCCTTTGTTGTACCCAAATGGTATTTCTAATTTGTTTAAAAATGTACATAGTATTTCCATTGGAATTTACGGAATCTAATTCAAAAAAATTTTTCAAATAAACCAAGAATCGTAAATTATCGCAACTCCACTGTGCCAATTTTGGTCTCAAGAACCATAAGACGTATCTAAAGGTCTTTGGATAGGATACTGGCTCTGCCCTTACACATTTTGTAAAAATTTAAAGCACCGTTTTCATAGATGATTTTTACAAGCTTTAATGAACACCTGGTACATGGATGGAATCAAATAGGCGATTCCATACTTTTCATCTTCTAAGAGTTGGAAATAAAAGGTAAAGTAAAGTGCTTTAATGTGTAGCGTCGTTTTAGCCGCAGAGAAACGAAAACAAGCAGTCTTACCTAATTGTGTCGTTTGTAGCCGTTCCCGTGGGGATATTTAAATTAATGTTGCAGCATCCGAAAGCTTAGAAGATAGAAAATTAATATTTTGTGATTTCCGTTCCCTTAATCAATGGATAGTCGATTTTATATTCCTAATGTTAAGTGAAAAACTATTATAAAAACTTGCAAGATCACTGTAGTACGATACATACCACAGACCTATGCTTTGACTCGAAAATTCCAAGTAACAATGAATGTTAACTGGACTACCAAATTTTGGTATTTCAACGCGGCCAATTGAGTATGCATAATTAGCTGTAGTTAAAGAACGATTCACATTACTAGTCACATCACGGTCCGCCCACAGTGTGGTCAATTATTGTAGAGTATTTCTTATGAACATGTTCTGACCATAATATGACCGGTAATGTGAATAAGGAATACACGCAGCGAACCTTGACATATCCGATATTGCGAATCGGCCTTAATTAGATGTGTTGCAGTAACCTCGTCTTTAGGTTATGTTTGGTATCATTGGAAGCACGCTAAATTATCAAAATGATCCAGTCATCATTTTTCAGATTTTTACGAAGACAGAGAACCGAGCAATTAATTAAAGAAGTTTTATTTTCGAGCGCTTTCATACTGGTTCATCAAGCCATATGGAAAATCCGCCGATCCCTTTCCGCTTATGGAATTTTGTAAAAGGAAAACGTTTGATTTAAAAGGGATTTCTTTCATCTTTGGCTAATGCTTCGTTGTGCAAAGCGGACATTGTTTTATTAATTTTTTACTTTTAACCATACCATTAAATCGTAAAGCTTTGATACTTTTCCGTCCATTAATTATAAAGGCGGATTGTTTTCATTGTTTAGTTTTCCCGTAGCTAGTAGATACCGTAAGATAAATTGTGCTGCCGTTGCCGTATACCATAATTCTATTTTAGATTATTCGGCAGTGACCGACGGCCGTCTACCTTGTAAGATCCCTGGAGTTGACAGTTTCCTTCAACTGATTTGTCTGTGGCTACCGAATTTCCGCAACACGAACAGACCATCCTTGACCAAGGCAAGGTATGAGATTCTCCTAGTGGCGCTAAGTGGCAAAAGAGATTAATTAACGCAATTGTAATTCATTTTGACAAATTAAATTTTACTTTTGTTCCAACTAATTCGCCTGTTTAATTTTCAATTGCTTTATACAAGGTGCTAATAACATTATGAAACAAATGAAAACGACTACTGGTCAAAAGGTTAAAGACAATTAATTCAAGTTTCTGTTTGCTGTCCTAAGTTAACAAGGGTACATTCTTGACATTTGTACATTTCGGAGCATTGCTAATTTGTTACTGTAAATAACTCAAAGTTCAATTAATTAAGTCAAAGTACCTAAGCCTGAAACACAGATATTTATTACTGTCTAGCCGTTGAATTAGTTATTTCATTG